ACACACCGAAAAAAAATCCAAAATAAAAACATTTACTGACTGAACAAACATTGACAAAAAAAAAAAAAAAAATGGATCGAAACCAATCTCGATTCGAAGAAAAATCGAAGAAGAAAAGAAAATACTGGACGACAACCAAACAAAACAAAATAAAAAACAATTTGTTGATTAAATCGAGCAGAAGAAGCAAACAAACAGGAATGGTTTTTCTTTTTTCTTTTTCTTTCGCTTGCTTTCTCATCATCATCATCATGATCAAAGTTGTCCAAGATGATGATGATGATGATAAGGAAATTTAAGCTAAATAACAAACAAGGATGATAATGGTAAAATTGAATTTTGTTCGTTTTATCGTTATCGTCTCGATATCAGATTCGATCCGATCAAATCAAAGTTTCTTCGTTGTTGTTGTTGTCATCATTCATTAAATTCGATTTGGTCATTTGGTTAATAACCAAGCAAGTAAGTAAAGTAGTATCCCAAACGAACGAAAAAAAAACATTAACCCAACATTGATGGCTATCATTGTTTTTTTCTCCTTTTCTTTCTTTCCTAAACATCCATTGTATTTTTTGTTGTTTTTTCACTAGCAAAACAAACGGGAAAAAGAAAAATAGCCATTCTTTTGTTTTCAAAACTGAATTTCGGCTTCTTTTGTTGGTTGGCGATTGGATTCAGGCGTTTGTTTCAGTTTCGGTTAAGTCAATCAACAAAATCAAAAACCAGTCAATTTTGAAAATCATACGATCCATTCACACAGGATAAACAACGAACAAAAGTTAATTGAAAAAAGATTGTGAAAATCGAGCCTATAGTTGAGAAATATTTTCATTTGAGAAAGTTTGAAATCCTATACAATTCTCTACACAGCGAATTCGGCAGCTGTTTTTAGTTCCTGTTTTTTTTCTGGGTAATCTTTCATTTTTTTGCATCGTTTCAACATCAAAGAATGTGTCATTGTCTACCACCACCACCACTGTGTGCTTGTTTGATGATAATCCAAT